TTATTCTTATATATATATATATATATATATATTTCGTCTTTAAGTTTTGTGATATTCTTTTGATTTGAAATTTCTATGGCAACACTTTATCGGTTCGAATATAGTCTCCTTTGTCTAAACTATCCACTGTAACACCGTATCGGTAAGCATAATCCTCCTGACGGAATACCCGCACAATGCATTCTCTTTTTGTATTTGCCTCTTGATTTAAATTTTCTATGGCAGCACTTTATCGATTCGCTTTTAGTTCCCTTTGTCCAAACTATCCATGGTAACACCTTATCGGTAAGCATATATCCGCCTGACGGAACACCGCACAATGCATTATCCTCATGGAATGTCGAGGCCAATCTTGCCATATTACATTTTAACCTGACGAATTCTATCTACATATTGTTTATCCCTTGCAGGAGTAATCATCGCACAAGTGGTCAAGGAGAAGCTACTGGCCGTACTACTCGATTTGCTCACTCTGCCCACAATCGGCTCATCAGACAAGGCATTGCTTGTGCAAGCTATCAAAACCATGCTTATAGATAGTAAGTTTTTTTATTCAATCATGCCCATGCATGTCACTTTTCCTTATGAATTTATGCGTATGGATGATACCTTTTTGGTTCAATCATTGCTATACATGATACTTTTTCTCATGAAATGATGCTTGTGTACGGTACGTTTTCGTTTATATACAATAGCGCGTAGCTGTGACGTATTTGTGTTCTCTATATTGTACCTTTACAACTATTGATGTGGTGTGTGGAGTGCATATATATATGCAGATATTAGTGTATCCTATGGTGGTCGCACACTGTTTAATTGACTAGCCGTGCACCCCTGCAACATATCTTGCTTCAATCTCTACGTACCTTATGGCTGTATATGTTAGACGCATCTCTATTTTGCACACGTACTACAATGTATGTGGAGATTGCACCGCACATATATGTTCCTGGTCGAAGGCAATGATGTCGCACATCGTACGATTGACTGGTTCTGAACCTCTGTATTACCCCTTGCTCAAGTATTATATCGATATGAACGTTTATCTGAGTACACTGTCATGAGTGTTGTGATAGTATTTCCCCTTGTCTCCTATATTCTCCAATTACGCGCCAAGTATGCCCGACTGCGCATACTCACCTTTTACTCTACAGGGTGTCTCAACTCGTCTGTGCTTAAATTGTTTCTGTGCATCGTTTGTTGCCTTTGTTGCCACATTCATACTGATTTTTGCATTTATCGGAACTGTTGGGCAATTTTACTCGGAGTAAATGCTTTAAAAGCAGACTTCAATGTGTGTGTCATTATTCTTTGATCGAACACAACTATTATACAACTTGCTCATTGCGCATTCAGAATATTCCTCATTGCTCGTTAAAGTGCTGAGACACGGTAAGTTTGCCATCATTATCTAATTATTTGCCCTTAAATATATTCGAAACTACCCTTCCTCAGATACACACGGAGAGCACATCACCTCTGAACTCGATGGGCATCCCGTATGGGCCAAATACAAGGATCAGCGCCACGATCTTTTCATCAGCAACACACCTACTGCTGTATGTACTACTTCGTATTAACTTATAGCACGCCATGTCTTCATTTAATCCTTTTTCCTTCATAGCATGCTTTATATTTTATATTTTCCTGTATATGTTGAATGTATGTGCAGCGAGTTGGTGCTACCTGTTGCTGTGTTTGTCTGGTGTTTGGTTTTGTGTGATTGCTGATAGCCAGAACGCATGAATCACTCACTAGATAGTGCTACATACTATCGACAGGAGTCAGTCACTCCGTAAGCTTTACAAATGCTCCAATTGTCATTCAAACGGATGGACATACTATGCTGTATGTATTTATATACATTCTAACATACACTGAGGTATGTTTAGAATATGTATATATAGCTGAACGGAGTAGAGGGTTCACAAGCCTACATATTCACTCAAGGCGTGCCACTTTGTTCTCTTTGTAGGGATATTTAACGGGTGGCGCGGGAACTATGGGCTATCTCACAGCTACCGCAAACAATGCGCCCAGGAAGGTAACTCCCGACACACCACCACCAGTCCCAGAAACACACGAAGACGATTGAAACACCTTCACAACTACAAAAATAGCAATAAATGTGCAATGAAATATTTTCACATATTCAGAATAGCAATAAATGTGCATGAAATAAACGTTCACATATTCAAAATTGCATCAAATGGGCTATGTAATATACGTTCACATATTCAAAAATAGATATGAATGTGCAATGAGAAGCCTACACACAAAAAAAGCAAGAAAACATGCAAATAGGGATTCAATCTCCTGTTAAATGCCAAGGAATGATGGAATTTCCCCTAATCATTTAAATGTAATCATTCATGTGTAATACTTGTAATTATTCGTGTGCATTACATCTTTATTCATGCATGTGGAATAGTCATTTATATGTAATGCCTATAATCATAAATGTACACTAAATTACTAGATAATCATTCTTGTGTAGTTCCTATATAATCATTCATGTGTAATTATCATAACAATTTATGTGTGTAACTACTATAATCATTCATGCGTGTTGACTATAACCATTCATATGTAATTAATATAATCGTTTCATGTGTAATTGCTATAGATTCAAGTGCAATTACTATATAATCAGTTACTATAATTATTCACGAGTAACTACAATAATCATTCATAAGTGTAGTTGCTATAGATTCACGTGCAATTACTATATAATCATTCATGTGTAACTACTATGATTATTCATGCGCAAGTACTATAGTCATTCATGTGCAATTACTATAACCATTCATGTGTAGTTGCTATAATCATTCATGTGTAATTACTTTAATCATTCATGTGCAAATACTATAATCATTCATGTGTAATTGCTACAGATTCAAGTGCAATTACTATATAGTCATTCATGTGTAATTACTACAATCATTCATGTGTAATTACTTACTCATTAATGAGTAACTCCTATAATCATTCAAGTAAAAACCTATACACGTTCATGTGTAAAACTTATATTCATTCGTGTGTGATACCTATAATCATCCATATGCACCTACGGGAAAATAAAATGTACAAATTTGCAGCCTATCATTGTTCTGCTCGAATATCTCAAAATTATACTGGAAAATTTCTCGTGTCAATATGTATATATATATATATATATATATAATAGATGTACAATAAATAA